ACGCTGCTGCTGTACACGGCGCTGCGGTGCTCGGCGCCGGCGGCAGAGGGCGCGTGCGGTCCGGGGAAGCCGAGGCTGGTGTGTTCGAGCGCGGTGGGGAGCTGGTCGTGCTCCCAGCAGAGGAGGCAGAGGGTGTGCTCTGGGGAGGGGCCTCCCAAGACCGACCTCATGGCCTTCAGCCCCTCTGTTCCTCCTTGTATGGATTCTGAGGACGGAACTGGGCACCGAGAACCATATTCAGAACAGAAAGAGGTGAGCCTTGAACTAAATTGTATTAGCCTTTATTTCCATTCTTTTTGTTCTTTCCTATTTCCTTCTCCTTTTGGAAAACAAAACGAGAAAACAAAGGTCTTCTCTCCTTTGTTTTGGGTGAATGTAGGTTGATTGATTGAGGAAGCACATTCGTTACAGTTTATAATGTTTAATTTGTTCTTCAGGTAGATGTATCCTTTGCCTGTAGGGTGACCCACAGAGACAGCTCAATTCCATATTCAAAAGTTCCTCTAGTCTCTTTCTATCCAATAGAGCTGGCTTTCTCCCCCTCCCCCAAATTACCCAAGGAAATTTGGATTTTACTCCACATTTTAATTTCTTTCTCTTCATATTATTTCATTTTATTCAAGACTTTGTGTTGTGACCCTGATCCAACTGTCAGCATTGGTAGCCAGCACTTCTCATCTTAGTTTGAAGAGATTGTAAATGTGAGGGTTATTATGCCTATGGGTTAGTTTCTTCTTTGATCTTTTTTATTCTATCATTCTCTTTTGCTTCACATACGTAGAGATTAACCGTTTTATCTTATATGACAGCTTGAAAGCTTTTAAGACCCCAAATTCTACTCAACAAATTCCAATGTAGAACCTTAACTTTGTGAGATATGTCAATGAACTTGTTTCCTCAAAACTGTAGTCCTAAGACTTTTGAGCAAGTGAACCAGTTACTTGAGTTGTTTGGATATGTCTAGAAAGCCTCAATGACTGTGCACCCTATTTCGTTTCTCCAGATGTTGCCATATATTTGGCACACACAAACATGTATATACATAGATTCCTTTTGTGTATGGTCTTTGTTTGTTGGTGTTCAAGCCCTCAGACCTGTTCTTGAGATAGTTTTTAAACTCAGGTAGGATAGACTGAAGGTAAAGTTTTGGTCTTGTGTATTTGTTTTAATGTTCTTTAGCTTCAGTTTGAACCTGCATGTGAGTGTGTTGTTGTTGTTGTTATGTGCCGTCGAGTCGCTTGCGACTCATAGCGACCCTATGTACAACAGCCCTAAACTCTTTTCTGTCCTGTGCCAATTGCACTATCTCTGACACTCCCATCCTGATTATCCCAGTCACTGAATCAATCCACCTCATAAAGGGCCTTCCCCTCCTGCGCTGTCCCTCCACCCTCCCAAGCATGATGTCCTTCTCCAAGGACCGGTCTCTCCTCACAACA